TGCCCATCCTGGGGGGCAAATTGAACCCTGGGATTGTCATGTACCATTGCTGAAATGAATTTCTGGGGTGTGGGAGAACCTGGCCTGAGCCAAGAGGGGTGTTTTTTTTTCTCATTTTTTTGTTTTGATCCCTAAAACAAGAAAATCGGTTATTTGCTCCGCTCTCTCACCGGATGCCTTTAACCTGTGTTTCCCACTGCATCAATGGGAGTGGAGAGAAAAGAGAATCTTTCCCCCTTGGGTGTGCTTAGTTGACATAAGCACTAGAGCAGGGGTGGCGAACCCCTGAACGTGTGGCTCGCGAAGCCACCGGCCTCCAGCTTCCTTGTGCTTACCAGGTCAGAGCTGCAAGGGTTTAAAAATGGCGCCCAAGATGGCAGCTGTCTTAAAGGGGCAACCTCCTTTTAAATTTTTTTTTTATTTTTTTTTGTTTTTGCTCAACAATTCTGTTCTGGGGGGGCTTTTTTGTGACATTTCTGGTACAGCTCTTCGCATTTTTTCTGCCACTGTTTCGGCTCTTTTCGTTTAATGGGTTGGCCACCCCTGCACTAGAGTGAAATAGGCCAGCTCTCCCCTGGTATGAATCAGAGCAGGCCTATCTGACGCACTGATGGTCAGAGTTAGACCCCGCCCCACCCCTCTGGCTGGGTCAAGGGGCCTTTGTGCGAATGACAGTCACACCCAGTGATCTCTGGGACGTCAGGCTGAAACACGGCCCATGGGGACTGACCCACGGCGTTGTGAAATAACATTTGAAATCTGCCCAACAGAGGGAGGCAGCAGCAGGGAGCTTGCAGCGACACCAGTGGGCAGAACTCACCTGCAAACTGGCCTAGGGCAGCAAGAACATATGTGGGGCAAGGGGAACCTTTGGGCTAGGAAGGGAGCTTGGCACCTGACTGCTGATGCTCCCTAAGTGGCCCAGACAAAACCGGCCGATGTCACCCCTATGCGCTCTTGCCATTTTGTTTTCACATGGTCTCCTTACCCCCAGCCTGACTGTCCCAACCTACTTTGCACGGGGAGCACCCAGAGCTGGGAGAATAACCGATGTTTTGGTTCACTGGGCGTTCCAAAAGAAATCAATCAATCGCCCAGGAGGAACCGAACTCAAAACGTTGGAACCCGTCTGGCGCATTGTGAAAAGCCCGTGTAGGGTGGAACGAAATGTGGGGATCGGGCTCAAACATTTTGTTTGGGGCATTTCTTACGGGTAAGATTCACAGGAGGGGGAGGGAATCCCAGCCTCTCTTAGGGTATGTCTACACTACAAAGTTAATTAGAACTAACAGTCGTTAGTTCGAATTAACTTTAATAGGTGCTACACATACAAACTAATTCGAACTAGCGGTGCGCTTAATAAGAACTAGGTAAACCTCATTCTACGAGGACTAACGCCTAGTTCGAATTAAGTAGTTCGAATTAAGGGGTGTGTAGCCACTTAATTCGAACTAGTGGGAGGCTAGCCCTCCCCAGCTTGCCCTGGTGGCCACTCTGGGCACCACTAGGGAAACTTGTCTGCCCCCCTCCCGGCCCCAGAGCCCTTAAAGGGGCACGGTCTGGCTACAGTGCCCGTGCCAGGTGCAAGCCTCCCAGCACCCAGCCAGCAGTCCCTGCACCTGGCACGGCATGAGCCAGCCACCTGCTGCCACCCAGACCTC